CTCGAATACTTTCCGCGTATGCTTCATCTAAACTACTGAACATTTGGCTAAATCAATGACGATATAAAAGAAAAATTGAGAAGCATCTTTTTGTCAACTGTATTTATTTCATCACACAACAAACTAGGTGAAGTAAATGGGATCGAAGTCCATGGTATGCCACATCTGTCTCTCACTGGAAACAATATAATAAATTATATTATAAAAACATAACACATATATATAATTGGTAAAGGCATTTTTTAGCACTTTTTTGTACCAGAAAAGGAAAGTAGGTCTTTTCATACAAAAGTATATCTAAAACACTAAATTATTATGCTGGAGTGAATTTGTTGTTTAACGCTGCACTTTGCAATACTCCAGCTATATGACAGCGATCGGTAATTAATCGAGTCTGGACCAGACAATCCAGTGATTGACTTATCGAGCATTGATCTACGCTACGTTGACTTACATCAAACAAGTCAGCGAGCCTGACCACCCGATCCCGTCAGTCGCTTCTAACGACATTGCATGTGTTGCTGAAGACCAATTCTAACCCGTATCTTCACGGTGGATCTTGCTTGAGAACTGATCAATGCTCCGGCACCGCTTTTACGAAGACATGTATCAACCAAGTCAGCGAGCCTGACCACCCGATCCCGTCAGTCGCTTCTAACGACATTGCATGTGTTGCTGAAGACCTATTCTAACCCGTATCTTCACGGTGGATCCTGCTTGAGAACTGATCAATGTCAGTGAGCCTGACCACTCGATCCCGTAAGTCGCCTCTTACGACAAGCATAGTCGTCTTTTTCGCCAAGCATTTGTTGCTGAAGACCTATTCTACCCCGGGTATTCACGGATCCCTTGTAAAGTACCAATGAGTGTACAAAAGAGGTAGATGTTACAACTTGATCAAAACCATTTCAAAATTCGGTGTGTTTTATAGCCTTTCGTAGATCGTAAGTGGTCATCTAAAAAATACAAATGTAAAATACTCACGGTGCTTCATCCCAACGTGGTGAGGATGGTGGGGAGGAAGCTGCTGCTGGGTGCGGCGGCTGGTTGGGGGATGGGGACGGGGATGGGGATGGGGTAGGAGGAGGAAGTGTGTGAAATGTGGGTTCCCCCGCAGCAGCAACTCTGACCGTGGTGGACAAACAGGGCCACTGAAAGAAGGACAACAATAACTGAAGTAAAAACTGTTATTTGCTGGAAGCGCTCGTTAAATCTCTACTTATCGGTGACGGTGTTTACGCTGCAGTACGTGATAACAGCATATCACCCATCACTGCAGTTGTTAATCTTGGATTAAGATATCACAATTTGACAGAGATTCATAAAACATGCTTGTGATAAAGTCTGAATCGTACCATGGGGTCTGCTTTCAGGCGAGATTTCGTATGAATAGGCAAATGTTTTTTGTTCATATCACCAGCTGCATCTCCTCAATGCTTGAATATGGTTAGTGTTTGTGCTATCCCTCTAGTCTGCTTTAGGTTTACCATACATTCTGAGTGAGTGAGTATGGTTTTAGGCCGCATTTAGCAATATTACAGCAATATCACGGCGGGGGACACCAGAAATGGGCTTCACACATTGTACCCATGTCGGGAATCGAACCCGGGTCTTCGGCGTGACGAGCGAACGCTTTAACCACTAGGCTACCCGACCGCCCCAAATACATTCTGAGATACCAACACAAATATGGATAACTTATATGTAAACTATTGAGCCTGCAATAGGTGGTCTATGCTTGATAAATTCACAGGCCGCTTCTATAGTTTGTTTGTTGTTTAACGCCGCACTCAGCTATAAGACAGCGGTCTGTAAATAACGGAGTCTTGACCAAACAATCCAGTGATTGACATCATGAACATCGATCTACGCAAATGGGATACGATGCTATGCATCAACCGCGTCAGCGAGTCTGACAACCCGATCCCATTAGTCGCCTCTTACGACAAGCATAGTCGCCTTTTACAGCAAGCATGGCTTGGTGAAGACCTATTCTACCCCGCAAACATCGTGAGATACACGTGGTTCTGGTAACTGTAAATAATTTTGATGAAAGTCAGTGTTAAGCCTGTAATACAAATACTCACCACAAAAGACAACAAAGAGGATGAATCGTGCCATTGTTGTGTCCAAAGTGTTCTCAAATAAAGATGCTTCACCCTGAACCATTTGTCATTTTATACTTTTCAATCATATAAACACGCTGGGTTAAATGTGACAAAAACAGATGTTTAAGCTCTAAAAATATTGCTTAAAATAGACTAATTATAACTTCATTAAAATGTTAAAAAAAACATGTCAGAAAAAGCGGACAGTATGTGCTTTTTATCAGATATCATCACGTGTTACAGCTGATTATGGGGATTAATTGTGATATAATTAGATAACCCTTTAAGAGATTTGACTCATCTTCCCATGGCGCCAAGTTCAATACTTGGAACACCACATTCAGACTATCCAGCATTACGTAGAACATCACGTGCAACCAGTTTTAATTAGGAGCATCACGTAACTTCAAACTGTGCGCAAGATGGAAGTGTGTCGTGATAACAGTGACTCAGCAAAACATCAAACAAATATCTATGAATTTCATGACGTATTGTGTATTAATACTTTGTAAAGAATATTTTTTGTATAAATATGTTTTTATCAATGTTATAGAAATAATATACATAAATGACGCACGATCCTTGTAAATGGGCGGACGTTGAAGGACAATGAAATAGCTTGTAACCTGGAACTGCAAAGGTAGGCATATACGTATATATTCTTGTAGAGATGAAGATCAACCCATGTTACAGGCTCATACATCTGTCTAAAGCTAGTTTCACCGATGTTTGTTAAACAACTGAATACATTCTGGAATCAGAAATGGGTTACACTTAATGTTCTAGTGAGTGTGTTGGATTTAACGCCGTTTTTAACAGTATTCCAGTTATATCACGGCGTGTCAGCTTAATGTGGGAGGAAAACCCGAAGTGATGCAGACGTTTACCACTTCGGTGAAACCCACGAGCACGGGTATGGTGCTGACAAACCTAGAAACATAATCGGGGCGAACCGGGATTCGAACCCACAATCATGTTTCTGACGTGTCCAAGGGACGCAACTCTGCACAGCGAATAGCGGGGCCTTCGCCTGGGCCACCCGTGCCCTCCCTTTGTTCTACTTCAAGGTATTTCCGCCTTTTTGATATTCATAAACATGTCTTGATTTAACGTGACTTGAGGGGCGGTCGGATAGCCTAGTGGTTAAAGCGTTCGCTCGTCACGCTGAAGACCCGGGTTCGAATCCCGACATGGGTACATTGTGTGAAGTCCATTTCTGGTGTCCCCCGCCGTGATATTGCTGGAATATTGCTAAAAGCGGCGTAAAACCAAACTTACTCACTAACGTGACTTAAGATGCTCACCTTTTCGCAGACAACTGGTGTCATCACTATTTGATAGTGATTCATACACAGATGTTCATGATATAGTCGGAATCGTACAACGGAATCTGCTTTTAGTAGGGAATCCTCATGAGTATGGAAGAGTTTTGTCGCTTATGTTTTAATAAGTATCTGCTTTTTTGTAACATACTGGCATGAAAATTGAATTGAACCAATTGCACCAATTTTGGGAACCTTTCTAGAAAATCCAGAACTAGACGGCTATTGTGACCAAATCTTCCGACAACAGACTCGTACAACAAAGCGATCTTGGCACGACGGCGTCTACAGAATAATGACGATAGTCGTACTGACGTGACATTACAATCCCTTGTGACGCGAGGCTACTGCAACTGATGCCAAATCAGATACCTTATGCTGTTTTGTGATGTGCATTTTGTTGATATAATAAAAAGTATTTTTGTAGCTCAACCGATGAGAGGGTAGGTTGTATGTCTGAATATCAAATTCACCCGAGGACTGTGTGACGAGAAAGAAAGTAGTTTATGCAAGGTCAACCTGGCGTGTTTTAACGTCAGATTTGAACACATACTTAAGCACAGAGTCCATTTATATCCGTCTTTTAGGGGATCGTTTTGGGTATGAATGTACGTACACCAATGACATAACCCTGCGACCATGCCATGGTAGTAAAGGGGTAGAAATGGACCCCAGTAACCCCTTCTTGTCAGTGTTCAGGCTCAAAGTGATTGCATGTAATTTTGTCCCGATGGCCTGGTTTGTTGGGTTTTTTTGCCTTTCTTCCTGCCTGGCCAAACTCCACATTAACGGCCCGCCCATATAAAGCGGGAATACTGCTGTCGGCGTCGTTCGTCAACATTCACTGTTTAATTCAGTCAGTTTACTGGAAACGGTACCGCCAATATTAGTTGATACAAACAGGTGTACGATCACCTTAGCCCATGAGTCCAACAAGAGTGTTTCAGTCTTAGCAAATATTATTGCTGGCCATTGTAAACAAATAATTCAATACCTAGTTATCGGAACTTGTTTCTCATCAAATACTTGTATGCATGACCATAATATTTCAACAATTATTATTTTTGATTAACATGCAAATTAATAAAGATTTATCAATGTTATCGATTCCTTTTAAAAAAGTGTTTTATATACCTACTGGAATTTCATTTAGATATTGTTGGAAATATGTTTACAGGCAGAACAAATGGCATGGATGTGAAATGGCCGTGTTTGTATCTATCATGTTCCAGCCATGTTGTCGCTGACGGGCGTAATGGTATGGCTGTTGCCAGTGTGGTTGATGTCAGTGGCGTTACTTTAACTGGATTATCGATGTAAAACATTGAAACTGGCTTTACTTAGGGAACTAAACTAGACAAACACACGAACAGAATCTCCCAAGCGACGGCTTCCCTCCTCTGCGATACATTGTTCACATCGATATCCTGAAGGGAACTCGAAGATTAGAAAATGGCGAGTCGTCTCCGGCTGATTATTTGACAAAAGTAATCCTTTGATTCATCTTTCAAAATTATCATGGAAATACGGACATAGTTGTAAAGCGGTGAATATAACATTTACATCGTAATGTCTTTTGATACTTTTATTCCGTGGTAAAAAAAACCTCCTGAAAATACAGACAATGTCGACTTCAGTTGGGGTCGTACAGCTCCTATCTGAAAAGAAAAATATAACGATTAAGTTTAACTTCGATGACACAAATTCAGTTGAAGCAATCATGTTCTGCTGTTAACGTTCACTTGTTTCACGGGTGGGGACAGACCGAAAAACAGGACGAATCATAGATTCAAACCAACGACCTCCCGCTGCGGATCCTGGCACAACTAAGGGACCTAACAGCGATCTACTGTAACTCCTTCAAGGCTTTGCGGTGGTGAGGTTTATGTAAATCCAGTTAAGTTCTAGGTAACACTGGTCAATACATCCTACATGCAATAGTTTCATTCTATTTTTTATAAATAACTAATATTTCAAAAAATATTTTTGCTATTGAATGAATTGTGGAGAGGATGAATGGATATTATCATATAAATAAATGGAGTGTTATTGTAACAAGAAACTGATACACGTAGTCTGTTTCTGATCCAGGATCCAGTTTTAGCTACCTTGTCAGATTAACCGCCTGTGGTGAGGATGATGGGGAGGAAGTTGGTGTGACTGCCGCCGCCGCTGCTGCCGTGAGACATGGGGACGGGGATGAACATGGGGTAGGAGGACGAGGACGAGTGGGAGGACTTGCTGCTTCCACAGCAACAACTTTCGCCGTAGTTGGCAAACAGAGCCACTGAAACAGGAACATGTTCAAGGTTCATCATCATCACTATCATCATACAACTGTGTTGTACTTGCTCTTACTATGTGTGAGGGAGGTTTGTTATTCTCCAACTTGAACAGTATTTCTAGTACAGTAGGAAACTCGACGAGAGCGTATACGCGTGTATGATGCTGATAGACCAAGGGTCATAATCGGGACCACAGCACGGTTAAAGTATACACCTCTGCACAGCGAACTGCGGCTATTTCACACATATTTTGACTATGGAATATATGGTTTTGTTATTAATTTAAGAACCCACAATAAATCGCCATTTCCTTTTCTATCTACCAATAGAAATAGTTAGTGAGTGTGGTTTTACGCCGCTTTTAGCAATATTCCAGCAATATCACGGCGGGGGAACACCAGAAATGGGCTTCACACATTGTACCCATGTCCGGCGGGAATCGAACCCGGGTCTTAGGCGTGACGAGCGAACGCTTTAACCACTAGGCTATCCGACGGCTCCACGTCTCCAAGAGCTACAGTATGTAAATAGTTCGACTGAAAGGAAGACTAATACACTGTGAAGAACATTTACCAAACAAATCATTGTTAGAATATTTCATCAAATAAAACAGCTGGGTTTAAAGGAAATCTTAATTGTGGCTAAGAAAGAATGACTGTTAAGTACTCACCACACAGGACAAAAATGCAGAGGAATCTTGCCATTGTTAAGAGTATTTTTTTCACTGATGCCTTATCCTTTCTAGATATCATTATATACCTTGCGATGTTCTTACCCGCGGAGAGACGCGTGACAAACCTTTGGAAAGCCATACAGAGTTTAAGTGGAACTGTGCACGTTTAAGTCAATGTTTAACCAAAAAATACACGAAAAGCTGATCATAAGAGAATTACTGGCAACGCCACACAGTGCTCTAACTGCTCTCCACAGTACGGCGACTGTGAAAGTCTACAGAAGCGCTTCACGCACGTGTTGCCGTGGGTATTAACTTGGTACCACGTGGCGTGAATAGAGCCAGGCGGTATCCTGTTGGTTTGATTGACAGCTGAGGATGACAACATGGTCATGTGACCCGCTGTGTGTTATCGTGACATCGACCACAGCATTGTCCACTAACCACATACAATGGATGAGTTGAATTAATTAACCATGCATGTTTTAGGGTAGTGATCTATGACGGCATCTGTTGGCAGAGGAAGAGGCTTTCAGCAGCAATGATGGATATTTGTTGGGTAAATGATAATTGTCGAGAATGTTGTTTTTTTATGTGAGATGTTGCAATGTGTGACCATGCTTTCGACACCGTAGACGAAAGTAAGTGCATACATATTTTTAATCAATTGTCGCGTTTGTATATCAGATTTAAAATACTTGCCGGGCATATACTATGTGTATACTATACCACTCAATGTTTCATTGGGAACATATGAGTGAGTGAGTTGGGTTTAACGCCGATTTTAACAGTATTCCACTTATTTCACGGCGTCAGCTAAATGTGGGAGGAAAGCCCGAAGTGATGCAGGTGTCAGACGTTTACCACTTCGGTGAAACCCACGAGCACGGGTATGGTGCTGACAAACCTAGAAACGTAATCGAGGCGAATCGGGTTTCGAATCCACAATCATAGGTTTCTGGCGTGCCCAAGGGACGCAACTGAGCCGGGACATATGAGTATTCAACCGAATAGTGTTCGAATCTGCTGTCACTGCAAGCAAGAATAAACACATTCCAATTAGCTGTTGCCCTTGGTGACAGGACACGTGGAGAAGTATATATGAATGAACTTCATCACATGTATAAATATACAGATATAAGCAACAATCTCTTTCCATAATCATGAAGGTCCATTGTACGATTCCGACTATATCACAACCATGTGTTTATGAATCAGTTTCAAATAATGATAATACCGGTGTTCGAACAAAGGAGAGCGTATTCCACCCCACCGATAGAATAGGTCTTCAGCAACCCATGCTTGCCACTGAAGGCGACTAAAGGGATTGGGTGGTCAGGCTCGCTGACTCGGTAGACACAGGTTATCGTATCCTAATTGTGTAGATTGATGCTCGTGATGTCAATCGCTGGATTGTCTGGTCCAGACTCGTTTATTTACAGACCGCCGTCATATAGCTGAAATTTTGCTGGGGCGTTAAACAAACAAACAAACAAACCGGTCCATGTACTCAGTCTAGGATTATCGCAACTCCATACTTCATGTAGTTTCGAACATGCTTTTACAAGGGTTGCCTTCTACAAAGTACATTCACGTTGACCATTTCCACAAACATATATAACACATTTCTGCCGATTCCACAGAGTCCGTTGTACGATTCCTTTGTACGATTCCGTTGTACGATTCCGTTGTACGATTCCGGCTACTAAGTATATCACAAGCACGTGCTTATGAATCACTTCAATTAGGGGTGAGATCCGGTACACGGAAATACACGCCACAGCTCGAATACTTTCCGCGTATGCCTCATCTAAACTACTGAAAATTTGGCTAAATCAATGACGATATAAAAGAAAAATTGAGAAGCATCTTTTCGTCAACTGTATTTATTTCATCACACAACAAACTGGGTGAAGTAAATGGGATAGAAGTCCATGGTATGCCACATCTGTCTCTCACTGGAAACAATATAATAAATTATATTATAAAAAACATAACACATATATATAATTGGTAAAGGCATTTTTTAGCACTTTTTTGTACCAGAAAGGAAAGTAGGTCTTTTCACACAAAAGTATATCTAAAACACTAAATTATTATGCTGGAGTGAATTTGTTGTTTAACGCCGCACTTTGCAATACTCCAGCTATATGACAGCGATCGGTAATTAATCGAGTCTGGACCAGACAATCCAGTGATTGACTTCTCGAGCATTGATCTACGCTACGTTGACTTACATCAAACAAGTCAGCGAGCCTGACCACCCGATCCCGTCAGTCGCTTCTAACGACATTGCATGTGTTGCTGAAGACCAATTCTAACCCGTATCTTCACGGTGGATCTTGCTTGAGAACTGATCAATGCTCCGGCACCGCTTTTACGAAGACATGTATCAACCAAGTCAGCGAGCCTGACCACCCGATCCCGTCAGTCGCTTCTAACGACATTGCATGTGTTGCTGAAGACCTATTCTAACCCGTATCTTCACGGTGGATCCTGCTTGAGAACTGATCAATGTCAGTGAGCCTGACCACTCGATCCCGTAAGTCGCCTCTTACGACAAGCATAGTCGTCTTTTTCGCCAAGCATTTGTTGCTGAAGACCCATTCTACCCCGGGTATTCACGGATCCCTTGTAAAGTACCAATGAGTGTACAAAGAGGTAGATGTTACAACTCGATCAAAACCATTTCAAAATTCGGTGTGTTTTATAGCCTTTCGTAGATCGTAAGTGGTCATTTAAAAAATACAAATGTAAAATACTCACGGTGCTTCATCCCAACGTGGTGAGGATGGTGGGGAGGAAGCTGCTGCTGGGTGCGGCGGCTGGTTGAGGGATGGGGACGGGGATGGGGATGGGGTAGGAGGAGGAAGTGCGTGAAATGTGGGTTCCCCCGCAGCAGCAACTCTGACCGTGAAGGACAAACAGGGCCACTGAAAGAAGGACAACAATAACAGAAGTAAAAAACGGGGATGTTGAATTGTTATTTGCTGGAAGCGCTCGTTTAATCTCTACTGATTGGTGACGGTGTTTACGCTGCAGTACGTGATAACAGCACATCACCCATCACTGCAGTTGTTAATCTTGGATAAGAATACCAATCGGTCGATATTGCGACCAACGATTCATTCAGAAGACAGCACAAAGTCGGTCCAATACAGACCTTACTGAGGCCGGTATCAACTGAAAGGTATGTTAGGAACTTCAATGCCTATCTGCACTGACGTTGATTATATTGATAATTGCGACGTAAAGCTGGGGTGGTCAAAATAACAAAGTGTGAATATTGTAGCGTGTTAAGACACCACTAGGGATGACCGAGGCAAGTGAGCTCACCTTTTGGCGAAGATCAGGTATTAACACAATTTGATAGTGATTCATAAAACATGCTTGTGATCTTGTCGGAATCGTACCATGGGGTCTGCTTTCAGGCCAGATTTCGTATGAATAGGAGGGGGCACGGGTGGCCCAGTCGTCTAAGGCGCCGCGATTTGCTGTGCAGAGTTGCGTCCCTTGGGAAACATATGATTGTGGGTTCGAATCCCGGTTCGCCCCGATTATGTTTTTAGGTTTGTCAGCACCATACCCGTGCTCGTGGGTTTCACCGAAGTGGTAAACGTCTAAGACCTGCATCACTTCGGGCTTTCCTCCCACATTAAGCTGACACGCCGTGATATAACTGGAAAACTGTTAAAAGCGGCGTTAAACCAAACTCACTCACTCACTCACTCACTCACTCGTGAATAGGCAAATGTTTTTTGTTCATATCACCAGCTGCATCTCCTAAATGCTTGAATTTGGTAAGTGTTTGTGCTATCCCTCTAGTCTGCTTTAGGTTTACCATACATTTTGAGATGCCAACACAAATATGGATAACTTATATGTAAACTATTGAGCCTGCAATAGGTGGTCTATGCGTGATAAATTCACAGGCCGCTTCTATAGTTTGTTTGTGTGTGTTTGTTTTTTAACGCCGCACTCAGCTATATGACGGCGGTCTGTAAATAATCGAGTCTTGACCAAACAATTCAGTGATTGACATCATGACCATCGATCTACGCAATTGGGATACGATGCTATGCATCAACCAAGTCAGTGAGTCTGACCACCCGATCCCGTTAGTCGCCTTTTACGACAAGCATAGTCGCCTTTTACAGCAAGCATGGCTTGGTGAAGACATATTCTACCCCGGATCTTCTCGGGCCGCATACATCGGGAGATACATATGATTCTGGTAACTGTGAATAAGTTATTTAAAGTCAGTGTTAAGCCTGTAACACAAATACTCACCACAAAAGACAACACAGAGGATGAATCGTGCCATTGTTGTGTCCAAGGTGTTCTCAAATAATGATGCTTCACCCTGAACCATTTGTCATTTTATACTTTTGAATCTGCTTCATATAAACACGCTGGGTTGAATGTGACAAAAACAGATGTTTAAGCTCTAAAAATATTGCTTAAAATAGACTAACTTCATTAAAATGTTTTAAAAAAACGTCAGAAAAAGCGGGCAGTATGTGCTAATTATCAGATATCATCACGTGTTACAACTGATTATGGGGATTAATTGTGATATAATTAGATAACCCTTTAAGAGATTTGAATCATCTTCCCATGGCGCCAAGTTCAACGCTTGGAACACCACATTCAGACTATCCAGCATTACGTAGAACATCACGTGCAACCAGTTTTAATTAGGAGCATCACGTTACCTCAAACTGTGCGCAAGATTGAAGTGTGTCGTGATAACAGTGACTCAGCAAAACATCAAACAAATATCACTGACTTTTCTGACGTATTGTGTATTAGTACTTTTTAAAGAATTTTTTTTTATATAAAAATGTTTTTATCAATGTTATAGAAATAATTTTATTCATAAATGACGCACGATCCTTGTAAATGGGCGGACGTTGAACGACAATGAAATAGCTTGTAACCTGGAACTGTCCAGGTAGGCATATACGTATATTCTTGTAGAAATGAGGGGCGGTCGGGAAGCCTCGTGGTTACAACGTTCGCTCGTCACGCTGAAGACCCGGGTTCGATTCCCTACATGGGTACAATGCGTGAAGCCCATTTCTGGTGTCCCCCGCCGTGATATTGCTGGAATATTGCTAAAAGCGGCGTAAAACCATACTCACTCACTCACTTGTAGAAATGAAGATCAACCCATGTTACAGGCTCATACGTCTGTCTAAAGCTAGTTTCACTGATGTTTGTTAAACAACTGAATACATTCTGGAATCAGAAATGGGTAACACTTAATGTTCAAGTGAGTGAGTTGGATTTAACGCCGTTTTTAACAGTTTTCCAGTTATATCACGGCGTGTCAGCTTAATGTGGGAGGAAAGGCCGAAGTGATGCAGGTCTCGGACCTTTACCACTTCGGCGAAACACACGAGCACGGGTATGGTGCTGACAAACCTAGAAATATAATCGGGGCGGACCGGGATTCGAACCCACAATCATAGGTTTCTGACGTGCTCAAGGGACGCAACTGTGCACAGCGAATCGCGGCGCCTTAGACGACTGGGCCACCGATGCCCCCAGCTTAATTTTCTACTTCCAGGTATTTCCGCCATTTTGATATTTAAAAACATCTCTTGATTTAACGTGACTTGAGATGCTCACCTTTTCGCAGACAACTGGTGTCATCACTATTTGAAAGTGATTCATACACAGATGTTCATGATATAGTCGGAATCGTACAACGGAATCTGCTTTTAGTAGGGAATCCTCATGAGTATGGAAGAGTTTTGTCGCTTATGTTTTAATAAGTATCTGCTTTTTTGTAACATACTGGCATGAAAATTGAATTGAACCAATTGCACCAATTTTGGGAACCTTTCTAGAAAATCCAGAACTAGACGGCTATTGTGACCAAATCTTCCGACAACAGACTCGTTCGACAAAGCGATCTTGGCACGACGGCGTCGACAGAATAATTACGATAGTCGTACTGACGTGACATTACAATCCCTTGTGACGCGAGGCTACTGCAACTGATGCCAAATCAGATACCTTATGCTGTTTTGTGATGTGCATTTTGTTGATATAATAAAAAGTATTTTTGTAGCCCAAGCGATGACAGGGTAGGTTCCATGTCAGAATATCAAATTCACCCGAGGACTGTGTGACGAGAAAGAAGGCAGTTTATGCAAGGTCAACCTAACGTGTTTTAACGTCAGATTTGAACACATACTTAAGCACAGAGTCCATTTATATCCGTCTTTTAGGGGATCGTTTTGGGTATGAATGTACGTACACCAATGACATAACACTGCGACCATGCTTGATAGTTAAGGGGTAGAAATGGACCCCAGTAACCCCTTCTTGTCAGTGTTCAGGCTCAAAGTGATTGCATGTAATTTTGTCCCGATGGCCTGGTTTGTTGGGGCTTTTTGCCTTTCTTCCTGCCTGGCAAAAAACTCCACATTAAAGCCCCTATAAAGCGGGAATACTGCTGTCGGCGTCGTTCGTCAACATTCACTGTTTAATTCAGTCGGTTTACTGGAAACGGTACCGCCAATATTAGTTGATACAAACAGGTGTACGATCACCTTTGCCCATGAGTCCTACAAGAGCGGTTTAGTCTTAGCAAGTAATATTTCTAGCCATTGTAAGCAAGACGAATAATTCAATACCTAGTTATCGGAACTTGTTTCTCATCCAATATGCATGACCATAATATTTCAACAATTATTATAATTTTTAATTATTATATTAAGATTAATCAATGTTATCGATTCCTTTTAAAAAAGTGTTTTATATACCTACTTGAATTTCATTTAGATATTGTTGAAAATATGTTTGCAGGCAGAACAAATGACATGTCAGCGTGGATGTGAAATGGCCGTGTTTGTATCTATCATGTTCCAGCCATGTTGTCGCTGTGACGGGCGTAATGGTAGGGTTGTTGCCAGTGTGGTTGATGTTAGTGGCGTTACTTTAACTGGATTATCGATTTAAAACATTGAAACTGGCTTTAATTTTGGAACTAAACTAGACAAAGTACGAACAGAATCTCCAAAGCGACGGCTTCCCTCCTCTGCGATACATTGTTCGCATCGATATCCTGAAGTGAACTCGAAGATTAGAAAATGGCGAGTCGTCTCCGGCTGATTAATTGACAAAAGTAATCCTTTGATTCATCTTTCAAAATTATCATGGAAATACGGACATAGTTGTAAAGCGGTGAATATAACATTAACATCGTAATGTCTTTGGATACTTTTATTTCGTGGTACAAAACTCCAGAAAACAGACAATGAGGACTTCAGGTGGGGTCGTACAGTTCCGCTCTGAAAATAGATAGATATAACTTCGATGACACAAATTCAATTGAAGCAATCATGTTTTGCTGTCCACGTTCACTTGTTTCACGAGTAAAGTGCTGACAGACCGAAAAACAGGACGAATCATAGTTTCAAACCAACGACCTGCGGATCCTGGCACAGCTAAGGGACCTAACTGCGATCTACTGTAACCCCTCCACACTATTGAAAAAGGCTTTGCGATGGTGAAGTTAACGTAAATCCAGTTACGTTCTAGGTAACACAGGTCAATACATCCTACATGCAAAAAATATTATTTGCTATGGAATGAATTGTGGATAGATGAATGGATATTATCATATAATGGAGTGTTATTGTAACAAGAAACACGTAGTCTGTTTATGATCCAGTTTTACCTACCTTGTCAGATCAACCGCCTGTGGTGAGGATGATGGGGAGGAAGTTGGTGTGACTGCCGCCGCCGCTGCTGCCGTGAGACATGGGGACGGGGATGAACATGGGGTAGGAGGACGAGGACGAGTGGGAGGACTTGCTGCTTCCACAGCAACAACTCTCGCCGTAGTTGGCAAACAGAGCCACTGAAACAGGAACATGTTCAAGGAAGGTTAACAACTATAAAAAATAAATGTGTTGTAAGTAGCTCATTGATCGGTCTTTGTCGCGAGTTGGTTTGAACGGTATTGTGGTAATGTCACGATGTGTAAGGTAATGAGTAAGAAGACCTCAGTGAAACCCACGAGTGAGTGAGTGAGTATTTAACAGTATTCCAGATATATCACGACGTGTCAGCTTAATCTGGGAGGAAAGCCCGAAGTGAAGCAGGTCTAAGACGTTTACCACTTCGGTGAAACCCACGAGCACGGGTATGGTGCTGACAAACCTAGAAATATAATCGGGGCGAACCGGGATTCGAACCCACAATCATAGGTCTCTGGCGTGCCCAAGGGACGCAACTCTGCACAGCCAATCGCGGCGCCTTAGACGACTGGGCCACCCGTGCCCCCGTGAAACCCACGAAGAGAGGCATGTCAGTAGATCAATATTCATAGCTGGGCCACGACCACACGATCCTGGACGCAACACTGCAACGCTGTCCATTCTCACTATGCAATAATGCACTTGTGTAAATAGAATGTAAGAATTAACCAATCAAATGTCGTTGGTTTGTTTGTTGTTTAACGCCGCACCCAGCAATATTCCAGCTATATTACGGCAGTCTGAATAATCGAGTCTGGACCAGACAATCATGTGATTGATATGGTTTAAAGAAAAAAGTGAAAATGGATTGGTAAACAAGCACAGCGCTTATGTTAATACCGCTCCATTACTCATAACAGGATATAATAAAGTGAGTGAGTATGGTTTTACGCCGCTTTTAGCAATATTCCAGCAATATCACGGCGGGGGACACCAGAAATGGGCTTCACACATTGTACCCATGTCGGGAATCGAACCCGAGTCTTCGGCGTGACGAGCGAACGCTTTAACCACTAGGCTACCCGACCGCCCCGGAAATAATAATAAAGACATCCATGAAGGTTAGATGTAACAAATGAACTGTACTTGCCAAGCTGGATGTGTATATATAATAAATATATTTGCAGTTTATATTAAACAATACATTTCATTGAAAATCTGCCCGTTTTTTTAAATTAAGTTTTGAATAGAGTCTAATGTTTGGATTTGCTCTTCCTTACTCAAATACGAATTTCCGCACAGCACTGTTTGTAAAGAATAACCATGTTGGTAAAAATACTAAAAATACATTTTATTTCGAAGAACATAGTAATTTGTGCAGAAAAAACGGTCTCTGTCCCCGTTAGGTTTTCTGGTAACATATTCCAAAGTTGTGTTGTAGCTGGTATAAATGAATTTGCATAGGCTTTTGTTTTTTTACACTTCACTGTTTGAAGATTAGATTTATCCCTTAAGTTATTATCTGTGTTTTCGGAAACAGTATTCGGAATAAGCCTACAAAGATATTCCGGGGAGTAAGGATTATTCCTTTTGTACAACATTACCAATTTTGAATTGTATTTTCTGTCTTTTAATGACAGATTGATGACTGTGATTGATATCATTAGCATCGATCTAGGCAATTTGTTTACGATAATATGCATCAACCAAGCCAGCGAGCCTGATCACCCGATCCCGCTAGTCGCCTTTTATGGCAAGCATGGGTTGCTGAAGACATATTCTACCCCGGATCTTCAGGGATCATATGTCATTGTAAACCGAAACACCCCTTCTCTACCCTATCCGCCCATATATAGATTTTCGACTGGACCAACGCAACGGTCAAACTGTTCAACCATATATTACAGTACCTGTCATATCTAAATTCTAACTTGAATATTTACTATTAACTACTTACCAAACAGGACAAAAACGAAGACGAATCTTGCCATTGTTGAAACTTAGTATTTCTGACAATACTACGACCCTGCTGTGTGCTGTTTTATAGGCCGAGCTCTCGGACTGCCTGTAGAGACGAATGTGACAGACTGTCGCTGCCAAAACAGCGTTAGGGGTTAGTCGACGTTTAACTGCAAATTGCACGTGAGGTAAGTAATATTGTTTTGGGACATCACGTTGAGATGTGACACAGAGATACACAACGACATGGACGCGTCCCTGAACACCACGATGCTGTGAACCAGCAAAGCTTGCAAATCACGCCTGGTTCCTCACGCAGGGTATCAAAATGGCTCAGGAGCATCACGTTCGTATGATTGACACCTGACGATAATCACGTGATCACGCGACCACGTGTCTGCCTGCTGCGCTGGATGCCTTGACGTTCAACCACAAAAGCTCATGTTCGCAGTGTTCGAAATACCTGCCTGTCCGCTCGCCAAACGCCAGTGACGTTTTAAATTTGACTAGTAACATTTCCGTACAGCTGGCCCTACTGTCTAGTTGAAATTTCTTGCCAAACGTATTTATCTGATTCTCTACTTATCTTCAAATCAGTTAAAACGTCATTTAATGTCAAAAACAGTCATTTCAGCGGTTTATCGGAAACCCACGCGAAGTAGTTAACTGGGTTTTGCTGTACACTGACTATGGTTGGTTGGTTTGTTGTTAACGCCGCACTCAGCAATATTCCAGCTATATGACGCCGGTCTGTAAATAATCGAGTCTGAACCAGACAATCGAGTGATTAATATCATGAGCATCGATCCACGCAATTGGGATCGATGACATGCATCAACCAAGTCAGCGAGCCTGACCACCTGATCCCGTTAGTCGCCTTTTACGACAAGCAGAGTCACCTTTTACGACAAGCAGAGTCACCTTTTACGGCAACACTGACTATGAGGATCATCAGAGGATGTGGTGATGGGGTATTTCCCACGAGTGGCCGACTCACACAACGCAGACGTTGACAATCGGGAGAACACTAAAAATTAAAGAAAAAACAAAACATAGTATGGAGACACATTAGGGATAACAAAATAATGTAGTGATGTGTAAAAGGTATATATTTTTCGTCGAAAGACTTTGTAATACTACTACGCATGTAAATAATTCCGTGATTTGAACTATACTACTTAAAGGACAATAGGCACCAGCCTTGTGAATCATGGCAGACAGCGATTCAGGAGAAGAGGTAAATATTACTGCTTTTATAAGTACATGTACTCGGGTTGAAAATTTATAAAAAATGCAATTTGACCAAGGGCAAGTATGACCAACAATCTTACTTTCCCTATTTTAAAGTGTACTCGCCCAAAATCAAGCTAATAAATCTACAGAACTGAGAATCAGAGTGAGTGAGTGAGTGAGTCTGGTTTTACGCCGCTTTTAGCAATATTCAAGCAATATCACGGTGGGGGACACCACAAATGGGCTTCACACATTGTACCCATGTCGGGAACCGAACCCGGGTCTTCGGCGTGACGAGCGAACGCTTTAACCACTAGGCTACTCGACCGCCCCTGAGAATCCGAGATACACACGGTGTTCCTTCGCTATTGCGCCCCTCAGTATAGCACCATCACGGTGATAGCGCGTAACGCATGGCTCCTAAAACTTACATACATATTATAAAAAACTCAAGTTTTACACTGCCATGATGTTTTTCCCCACATCGCAAAAAAACATTATCAGCTGATCACCGCGAGCACGTAACGAAATACCAGTCAACAAATCCGAACTGAAGTACGCAATTTAGTCCTATTATTACACTATCTGGTTATAAAAACATGTTCGTTGTATATCTGGACTTATGTCTGTAGCATATTTTATTATTTTTATTCAATAGTGTTTACATTAATTTCGGAAATATTTGGTGTGTAAAGGAATCGGGAGATCGCACAACTCGCCGTTTTTTACAGCAACCAGGGTCAGAATATCGCTATTCACGCCTTGAAACGAACTTTAGTTGACAGGGAATGGATACAATGGATACATATATCAAAAGAAATAAAAACTAGCACAGTGTTTGTATGCTTTTTTAATTTTTTTGTTGGTTCTATGCTTGATAGTTTCACAGGCCGCTTGTATAGTTTGTTGTCTAACGCCGTACTCAGCAATATTCCAGCTATATATATGATGGCGGTCTGTAAATAATCAAGTCAGGACCAGACAATCCAGTGATTGATATCATGAGCATCGGGATACGATGGCATGTATGAACCAAGTCAGCGAGCCTGGTGTTTGTATGCTTATATATGACATACCATAGAAGACAATAAGATGACTTACCTTGACAGGGGAGGTAACTGTCCATTGCTAGCTCACAAGACCAGACAAAATATCATAGAATTTTACATCAACACATGTGAATGACAGTTACATGGAGCAAATTGAACTATTTTAGAATTCATTAACCCTACTGACGGTTCATATCCTTAGAGTCAGATGAAAACCTCTGATCAATATGTAGCGTGGAGTGTGGCACATCACGAGGATGTGGATTGGGGACAACATTACAGAATGTTTGTACTGGGTGCACCTATCCTACATGAGTTTCAAAGTAAATAAGAAACAATCTGATTTAATTAAAAAATGGGGATTTTTTTCATGAAAGTTTGAATACCTTGAAATCTTTTCCACGTGAGTGAGTGAGTTTGGTTTTACGCCGCTTTTAGCAATATTCCAGCAATATCACGGCGGGGGACACCACAAATGGGCTTCACTCATTGTACCCATGTCGGGATTCGAACCCGGGTCTTCGGCGTGACGAGCGAACGATTTAACCACTAGGCTACCCGACCGCCCCTCTTTTCCATGTGAAGATTCATATGTCTTCTTCAGCCGCATTCCATCTCGACGAGTTAAGTAGGAACGATTATTCCCAATTGGGAATAATAAAATAAAACCCACTGCCTAACCCCTATAAGCTGAAAATTCCACCTCCAGGCGTCTCTATAAAACGTCGCAAGATAAGTCACTTTTGATCAGTACGGTACTACAAGCTCCACACTGCAACACATCGCGATGTGAACACTTGACTCGGCATTTGCCTTAATATACATTTTTTAAAGGACATTTCCCTGTTGTGCAACAACTAAAACCTGTCACATTGCTATTATGCCACGAGAAGACTCACAATTCACACCAATACCTTCATCTGATTGTTAATGCAGTGGTAAGTGCATATTCATATCTACTCAAATATTTATAATTAACACATCTATTCTTTCAAAACCTGCATACTTCATTATTTAAAAACATCTCTGTATTTATGTTGTTATTCACAACTAAACATCCATATCATATTAAGTGAGTTACTCTGATACTAGTATTTAATATGTACGTACCAAATACAAACTATTGCTTTTTTTTGTTTTCTTATGACTAAAAACTGTATGTATGCCTATTTGTATGGATCACAATAAACGTTAATTCATTATCCTGGATCCAAAGTCACATTCCCATTCCCATCTCATTCTCAGTTGTTCGTGTGCAACGTGTCAAACACCATTCAACGTTGTTACAGGTGGTGAGGTGAAATGGGGTTTAACGTCGCGTCCAAGATTATTGCACTTATATAGCGACGTCATGTACGTGCATGTGTGTCTGTGTGTGTGGCTGCTTGTACTAGTCCGGACTGGTGCCGATTTATAGTGCTAGCACAATGAGATACCATGCCCCAGTTAAACATGAATACCCCACTCAGACACAGTATACTGACTCCGAGCCGACCAGTCCTTGTTTTAGCCCCTTAATGCCGAGTGCCAGACAGGGTAACAACAAGTACCATCTTTTAACGTCTTTTGGTATGACGCGGCTGGGGATCGAACCCCGGACCTTCCGCTCTCCGGGCGGACGCTCTACCATTAGACCTAGGAGGCGGTCTCAACGTTGTTACAAGTTCATGTTCGAACAAAGTTCTCAATATTGACTTCTCATTGGCTGGTATTTTATGTTCTAGGAATATTTTCACCGTGACGTTCAGAATGTCATTCTCGCTTATATTAAAGAATGTGGCAGTTTTGATACTATAAAATATCCAGGTACTTAGCAAACCTGTATTATGGGCAAGGTGTAAATGGGCCTTGTTGCTTGAACACCTATAAAAATAAATTCGTGATCTGTCATCAGTCACAACACATGCATCTCATCTCAAAGTTGTTGTGTATTCATTTTAAAATAAAGTTGATAATATGCATCTCATTTCATCTCATCATCATCAATCATCAACAAATACCCAAAACCTGGAAGATTGACTGCAAAGGAAAAATAAACAATCATAAGTTTGCAGTTCAATATAAACCAAACAATAGCAATGCATGAAAATTACTAAAACAACAACAGTTGACAAAAGACATTAAATTGAACCAAAATAATTACAAGAGCATTTGCACAGAAAGAGTGTATAATATAACGTTATATGATGTAATTTAAATTGAAAATGCTTGATGAAAATACAACTTCAAATTTACTAGAATGTAAACATTAGTGATTGAAAACTGAACACATTATATATCATGCTACAAATTGCTACACAAATATACTGATAATGGAATAGAAATACAAATGCATAACAACATACCATTTAGGTAGACCCATATTCTTTTCCAACTAATACTCCTTTCTTTTCTTATTTCTGACCGCATGGGTCCTCATTCTCTCCTTGTGTAGCGGGGTAGTGGTTATGATCCGGCTCGGGCCGTTGGGAAACACAGACACAGGCAGATGATGATAATGTGTTTATTATAATGGGGGTGGCTGCTGTTGAAGAACTATCTGAAGAAAAGAAAATGTCCTTCCTCCTCAACAGCAGCACATGAAGTCATATATTTGCAGATTTACAGGCATTTATCTTAAATATAGAAGTACAAAGCCATTTTGTAACCATTATAAAACTAATAGCAATTTAACATTAAAGTTATATGACACTTGAAAAAGCACATGGGCCAAAATGGACCATGTGGTTAATTATTTTACAAACTAGTTTTATAATATATATTTCATAAACTAATTTGATATAACTTTAAATGATATTATTAATGTTATCCAATTTAGTTCAGCACCCTAATATAGATGTTAATTTCTGACAGAAGCAGATGAAAACAGATTGAAAAGAGGCCATTCCATACCTGAAGAAAAGAAAATATCCTTCCTCCTCAAGAGAGGAGGAAGTCAGGTATGGAAAGAAGCTAACTGTAGAGGACCAGGGTGGCCAATTAGAAGACAGATTGCATTAAGCATCAAATGAAGTGCTTAATGCAAAATATGAATAGACTGAGGGAAACCCTACAGGTGTGAAAAAATGTCTAAAGATAGACAGAAGGTTGAAGGGGAAGATCTGCTGGTGAGAGATTCCCAGAGACTGAAAATAAGGGTGCCAAGTACTTTAAAGAGTTATTTACTGACATGCTACTGTAGGCAGAGACAAACAATGAACATACAGATGCTACACTTGCAGAAACTGAAAAGCATGGCATGAAGCCTAACCAGAGTAACCTTCCTTGGCTTAACTCCTGAAGCATGCATAAAATAATCATTTTACTGCTTAATTTGGCATGAAAATTAAAGAAAATTCTAAACATTAATAATTTGGAAAAACAAATACAAATTATTTCAGAGAGGCTATTTTTGATCGTAAATCTATTTATACTAATAATGCTAATATTACGGAAAACGTTAAAAGGGGAATTCCAGAAAAATTATAAATAGACACAACAGGTACGGGACCAGTTGGTACACAGTTTTGAAGTTTGCACGAGAATGGTCAAACAAGCCTGAAACCGAAAAAAACAAATTTCGTTTTATATAATAGCACAGCGTGAACAGTTTCATAAACCTCAGTGTGAATTTTAACAAATTTGTTTCTCGTGCTAAATGCAAATGTTTTCAACCGAAATGTAAACACTTTTCTGTCCCGGAATTCGCATAACTGTACCAAAACAAAATGTTTTATTATACATCTAAAACTACTGTTTTATGTCACTAATACATTATCAAATGGTTAAAATTCAATGCAATACTTGCAGGGTATCTGCTAATCAGATATGAGGCACTCCGCATAATTTTTTTTACCACATGCTGAATGTGTATTCGTCTCGTGCGATCGTTGTTGTTGCATTAAGTCAATAAGTGTTTAAGAGGTCGCCTTCTGCCTAAGCAATGTCGGCTGACCTGTCCCTCTTTGGGACTCATGTGTGTGAGTAGGGTACACATATCTATTGTGAGTTTGGTATTCACAAAATTTCTGTTTTTGTATTGATATGATTTCTGTTTTCGTCACGTGCGATCCGTGTTGACACTTCATTTATACCCGTGGAAAATAATACCGGGCATGTCATTTCCGGTTCGTCTTATTCTTTTGATTAACTTAAGCCGTTATTATTTACACATAAAAAATATCATGTTGCGTGCGTTCTTCCTGTTTTATTACAGTTGTATTTATCAAATGCCTTTATCTTCAAGATTGTCTCCATGACAGTTTTTTTCTTTCGTACCGACATGGAGAAAAAATCATAAAATACACAAAGGTAAAACTACATGATCATAAAGATACTTATTTGGAAGTGTAAATTTTGTGTACTTTTTTCATCTAATTAAAATCAATGTAAACTGTAAACATAATTCCGCCTTCAATAACAAGTTGAGCCGATGTGAATGATCGATCAGCACAAACGGCAGCCATTACAGCCGAGTCGGGATCGGACTTGGGATGGGCGCTCTGCGTTTGAATCCTGCTGACAAATATCTGGATACTTGGAAATGCTGATTTCGTAATAATTACCGTATTCGACGTAATAAGCGCCAAGGCCGCTCTCAAAATTAGAAATAGGGGGCTCTTATTAGAATATTATTTTGGTGAAAGAAAAAACAGAGTTGAAAGATAGATTTTGTGGTTTTTGCCGACAGCCTGAAATGTTTATATACGAAAGATACATTTTTGCAAAATTTAAATGCCCATAATTAAGGTTGCATATAACACACGTGTGCGTATTATACGTGAATAAATAAGTCTTGTGTACATTGATCAATCGGAAGGGGTGCTAATTGGTATTGTTCACAAGCAAATATATTAGCAAATATCGCCGTGGGCGCTTATTAGAGCGGGGCGCTTATTACGTCAAATACGGTATGTAAAGTATTGCTATTATTGGTTATTCAGATTGTTTATTTGTCGGATAAGTGCACATTGAAGAAGGATTGCAGCTTTTATTTCAAGCCATTTTGCAGTTCGTAAAGCCCGCGCATGGCGACCCGGGGAATCCCGTGACGTCATCAGGCTGCCAAGTTGGAGTCTTACCGTGATTTCCAAGTTCTCAGTCCTCAAAGACGGAATCGCACAAAATGTGTCCATAACATAAGTCCAATCAAGATTAAACTGTAGTACATGGTGAAAGTTCAAACACTATCTTCTATTCACAAGAAAATATCTTCTCTAATGATATTGACGTTTACACTAAGACACATGTGTAATGAGTACCTCGCATGTGTCGTCTGCTTGACCGTCTGCCCCGGAGCGAAGCAGCTGCAGCACGTGCAAACCGCAACGAGTTGGGTATCGCGTTTAGGCGAGTGCTAGGCGTATCGAGAACACGTTCCCGTGTAAGTTTGCTTCATGTTATTTTGCCACCACACGGTAAATCTAATGTTCAGGGTTTATAAGACCGCATTATATTTGCCGATCTAACATACATAAATCTATCATTATTATAGCGAACTTCATCACACCGATTGTGCAAGGTCGTGCATGTCATGGGCGGTCGGGTAGCCTAGTGGTTAAAGCGTTCGCTCGTCACGCCGAAGACCCGGGTTCGATTCCCGTCATGGGTACAATGTGTGAAGCCCATTTCTGGTGTCCCCCGCCGTGATATTGCTGGACTATTGCTAAAAGCGGCGTAAAACCATACTCACTCACTCACTCACTCACTCACCATGACAACGGTTAAAGCTAATAAACGTGTGATTACAATGTTTTTTTTCCTATATCTGGAGGCATCACGTTGAACGTAAGAGGATGTGATTTCAAAAAGTGTTTGTAAACAAACTACACTATATAACAATAACCAAAAAAACTTCAGATGAGTGGATCAAAAGGATATCTGATGTTCACGGCAAAGGACACGCTATGTGGTCAGCGGCTCGATAGTAATGAATGAGTGAGTGAGTTAAGTTTAACGCCGCTTTGCACAGTTATTAAAGAGACTAGACGCGCTCTGAAAAGCTCATCCAGATAAACAGGGTCCATGGACCTTGAACAATTTGAATATATGCGCCAGTGAGCCAATGGGGAGATCACTCACTTCACCTCATCTATTGAGGCGCCGCAATTCGCAGTGTAGAGTTGCGTCCCTTGGGCACTCCAGAAACCTATGATTATGAGTTCGAATCCCGATTCGCACTGATTATGTTTCTAGGTTTGTCAGCACCATGCCCGTGCTCTTGGGTTTCACCAAAGTGGTAAATATCTGAAAGTGTTGAACACATCACTCATGGGTGAGTGAGTGTTTTTGACAATCGCCGCTTTAAAAGGTAGTCGGGTTATATCACGGCGTGTCAGCTTAATGTGGAAGGAAAGGCCGAAGTGATGCAGGTCTCAGACGTTTACCACTTCGGTGAAACCCACGGGGACGGACATGGTGCTAACAAACCTAGAAACATAATCAGAGCGAACAGGTGTTCGAACCCACAATCATAGGTTTCTAGCGGCCCCAAGGGACGCACAGCGAATTGCGGCAACTCAGACGACTGGGCCACCCGTGCCCCCTATCGATCATGGATTTTGAACTTGTCATTCATGGATGTTGGACATATCACTCATAGGAGTTCCAAATATAAAAGGTTTCATTGCCTGAAGGTTTCTACCGTAACGTCTCTTGCGTTCGAGGCGCAGTATACTAAAGCTATAAAAAACGCAATCAATTAAGCTCAGTGTCTTTATCTTTATATACATGTACACAAGCATCAAAGGCATTTCAGCCACGGTAAGACGTCGAGATCAACCAGTGGATTAACATTTCCTTTCAGGGCGGTCACAGCATTGTTTTCATTGCCACCTACAGCTTGAGTGTCTTACCACACCTGTCGGCGTTCCAGGTAAGATCAGTTGATTAGTAGGATATGATGATTATTGCTACACCTGTGCTGCAATGCACCAGTAGGGAGCCAGACTGGACAGTATATAACGGCAGTTCTTGTGAAAGGTGTACATCACTTCGAGCTCACATCTCCACCAAACCAATCACAATGGCTAGCGTAACAAGTCTATTACTTCTTCTTGGTGAGTTTTTAGTCTGGTTTTTTTTTGTGTTAACGAAAATTTTATCTTATTTGTTCGTGAAGATCCTGAACTTTTTCTACTTTTTTTTCTGCGGAAAGACGTAACATGCGAAACATTTGTTCTTTCTCCGAACATTGTCCATTCAGTCACTTCTGCATTTTCATATTTTTAACAATGAATTAGTGATAGGTAATTAAATAATATTAAACATGATTGATGTAATTGAAAGATGAAGCGGTGTAAGTTCATAACCAAATTACTTTCTATTGTAAAGTAACAATGTTCCAGTACCTGAATATATTAGATAACAACTGTGCTTATTTTTCGCAAATACGCAGCTTATCTGAAGCTCTCTCGTGTCACTCCGGGGATCACACATCTGTTTGCTTATGCAACCCATGTGATCAACTTAACGTTAGATTTTCTTTATGTATCTTTTTAACTGTTCTACAGCAATGCTGGTGGCTGTCTCCCTGGCCCATCATCACCATGGTCACCATCATCATCGTCACCATCACCACCACCACCATCATCACCACCACCACACGAAGAATATCCATCATTACGACGAGTACTCATCAGGCTCATCGGGTTCCTCAGGCTCATCCGAGTCCTCAGGATGCGGTTGTGGAGGAAGTTCCGGGTCTTCTGAATCCTCGGACGAAGACTACCCCATCCCAATCCCAATCCCAATCTCCAGCGGTGGCGGCAGCAGCAGCGGTAGCAGCGGTTCCTCCGACGCCGCCCTTCTCCAGGCTCTCATCAACGCCGGAAAGAAGAAGTAGACACAATACTTGGTGAGTATAACTCAATACTCCATTGTTTCCAGAGAGACGTGTCTTGTACGCGCCAGGATCCGCTTGTCGTGGGCTTTGAAGCATGTTTCGTCCCGATTACGACCCCTTGTCTGTCAGAATCGTTCAGTACTCGTGGTAATTAATTGTCAGTTCAGACTTTCCTATCACATTGAGCTAACAGGCTAAAAGGCCCGTGAAGATCCGGGTTAGAAAAGGTCTTCAGCAACTCATGCTTGCCGTAAAAGGTGACTATGCTTGTCGTAAGAGGCGACTAAGGGGATCGAGTGGTCAGACTCGCTGACTCGGGTGATGCATATCATTGTATCTCATTTAGTTAGATCGATGTTCATGATGTCAATCACTGGATTGTTTGGTCAAGACTCCATGATTTACAGACCGCCGTCAAGAATATTGATGAGTGAGGCATTAAATAAACAAACAAGCAAACAAACTGTTTGGTTTTTTTAAGTGAAGAGCACGCAAATGAATAAAGCTGGAATTTGCTGAGTACGGCGTTAAAAAACAAACAAACAAATGAAAGGACGTGATGGCCCCCCAGTGATCCTCAGTAAGCTATGCTTGTCATAAGAGGCGACTAAAAGGACCTAGTGGTCGATTGCGTGTCATGGTACCCCGACAGGATCGTTGCTCATGATATCAGTCACCTGTTTTCTTGCCCAGTCTCGACTGTTAACAGGCTGGAATATTGCTTAGTGCGGCGTCAAACAAATCAGCTATGGCAGCCCGCGTGCCACTACACTACATTAATCTTGACTGCTACTGTCATCCTGCTATTGCTGTTATCAGGACAGGGGCACGGGTGGCCCAGTCGTCTAAGGCGCCGCGATTCGCTGTGCAGAGTTGCGTCCCTTGGGCACGCCAGAAACCTATGATTGTGGGTTCGAATCCCGGTTCGCCCCGATTATGTTTCTAGGTTTGTCAGCACCATACCCGTGCTCGTGGGTTTCACCGAAGTTGTAAACGTCTGAGATCTTCGGGCTTTCCTCCCATATTCACTCACTCACTCAATGTTATCGGGACAGCATCACAAAAAACGTCTTTTAAACTTGTATTTTGTTTGTCTTATTTGTTACAGGCTCTCCGCAGTTTCTTCGACAGCTGGTTCTGTTGACTTCTACTTACCCGTTTTATTTTATTTGTTATGTGTTTCTCTTAAGACACAATTATGTAAAATAAAAAAATGAATTATGACAATTGCTTTGTTGTGTTATACACTGTTAGAATGAATACACACACGACCATACACACATGGGCAGACACAAACACGTATACAGACAGACAGACGGACACGCATACGCTTACACAGAGAGATAAACACACACACACACACACACACACACAATTTTGAAACATATACTGCTTTAATTAACAGGCGACTCAATTATTCACTGCTTTAATTAACAGGAGAATCAATTATTCACTGCTTCAATTAACAGGAGAATCAAACATTCTCTGCTTCAATGAACATGAGAATCAAACATTCTCTGCTTCAATGAACATGAGAATCAAACATTCTCTGCTTCAATGAACAGGAGAATCAAACATTCACTGCTTCAATTAACAGGAGAATCAAACATGCTCTGCTTCAATGAACATGAGAATCAAACATTCTCTGCTTCAATGAACAGGAGAATCAAACATGCATTGCTTCAATGAACAGGAGAATCAAACATTCACTGCTTCAATGAACATGAGAATCAAACATTCTCTGCTTCAATGAACATGAGAATCAAACATTCTCTGCTTCAATGAACAGGAGAATCAAACATTCACTGCTTCAATGAACATGAGAATCAAACATGCTCTGCTTCAATGAACATGAGAATCAAACATTCACTGCTTTAATTAACAGGAGAATCAATTATTCACTGCTTCAATTAACAGGAGAATCAAACATTCTCTGCTTCAATGAACATGAGAATCAAACATTCTCTGCTTCAATGAACATGAGAATCAAACATTCTCTGCTTCAACGAACAGGAGAATCAAACATTCACTGCTTCAATTAACAGGAGAATCAAACATTCTCTGCTTCAATGAACATGAGAATCAAACATTCTCTGCTTCAATGAACAGGAGAATCAAACATGCATTGCTTCAATTAACAGGAGAATCAAACATTCACTGCTTCAATGAACAGGAGAATCAAACATTCTCTGCTTCAATGAACAGGAGAATTAAACATTCTCTGCTTCAATAAACAGGAGAATCAAACATTCACTGCTTCAATGAACAGGTTATCACACATCCATTGCTTTTAGTAAAAGGGAAATCAAAGATGTTGGGAAGGGGTGGGTGGGGTGCGGATGTTCCCTTGGATTTTGTGACGAAATCAGATATTTTTCAGCAAGAACGACAAAACCAGATGAGCTATACTCCTATGAGCCTGTTGTTTTTTTAAAGAAAAACAACTTGCAACAATGCTATTTTTGTGGCAGGCAATTTCGGTTTTTTTCAACTGTCTGAAGCATTATCATTTTTTTTCACGACTTTTCGGGGTGATTTAATGTTTTTCGACAAAAAGCGTGCGTCACAGTCCTCGTGGCATACATCATATGGGCACATGAGAGCTGATGAAGTGTGCGCCATAGTACTGTGAAACACATCACTGTGACGACACAAGAGAATTATTGATGCGTGCGTCATAGTACCGTGAAACACATCACTGTGACGACACAAGAGAACTATTGATGCGTGCGTTATAGCACCGTGAAACACATCACGTGCACTGTGACGACACAAGAGAACTAGTGATGCGTGTCATTGTACCGTGAAACACATCACGTGCACTGTGATGACACAAAAGAACTAGTTATGCGTGCGTCATAGTACCGTGAAACACATCACTGTGACGACACACGAGAACTAGTGATGCGTGCGCCATAGCACCGTGAAACACATCACTGTGACGACACAAGAGAACTATTGATGCGTGCGTCATAGTACCGTGAAACACATCACTGTGACGACACAAGAGTACAATTGATGCGTGCGTCATAATACCGTGAAACACACCACTGTGACGACACAAGAGAACCATTGATGCTTGCGTCATACTACCGTGAAACACATCACTGTGACGACACAAGAGAATTATTGATGCGTGCGTCATCGTACCGTGAAACACATCACTGTGACGACACAAGAGAACTATTGATGCGTGCGTCATCGTACCGTGAAACACATCACTGTGACGACACAAGAGAACTATTGATGCGTGCGTCATAGTACCGTGAAACACATCACTGTGACGACACAAGAGAACTATTGATGCGTGCGTCATAGTACCGTGAAACACATCACTGTGACGACACATGAGAAATATTGATGCGTGCGTCATAGTACCGTGAAACACATCACTGTGACGACACAAGAGAACTAGCGATGCGTGCGTCACAGCCCTCGAGGTAAACATCACGGGAACACAAAACTATTGATGCTACGTTTTAAATCGCTCAAGCGTATTGTTAGGAATATTAGAAACTGTGAATGTTTACTGTTTGATATTATATGACAATAAATCAAATATCACTGAATGCCTTATTCTGGACTGAGTGGTGACTGCTGAAATTACATTTTATGTTACCTTCTAAAATAAGTGTAAATGTGTTTTCGTATTCAATCAAATCAATGGAATTAATATGTTTGGTCTTCCCCGTAATACGCCGCAAATAATGCATCAAATATATATTTATCTCTACACGTTGCGAAGTGTTTACATGTTTTCGATGTTTATATATATCAGTGAGATATAGGTCAGCGAAGATCATCGTTTAGTAATTTAAAAAAAAACAATTATTATGGTTATTCGCATTTATTAAAGTCATTTGGTCAGACGTATTATTTTCGAGCTCTATTTCATTTGTGTTTAGAAACCATATACAGTAAGTTGTCAAGACAGTAGCACTTGCATTTTACACGAGGAAACGTGTGTCGTTGATGTGATTAATTCAGTGAGTAATGTCTCTATTGTTATGTATAAATGGGAAAATTATTATTATTTGTGCACAGTCATTAATTATAAATTAAGGAATGAATGAATAAACAACATAACAATATTAATATTTCGTTTTTAATGACTTTATTACAAGGTACACACGGTTATTATCTATCGTGAAGACGTCCGATTTTCGATCACAAATCACTTAATTTCGTTAATCCGACATACTCGTTAATCCGACACAATCATGTGCAACCAACGATGTCGGATTAACGAGACTTGACTGTAAATAGTAATTTATAATTAAATGTTGATGCATCGGTGTGTGAAAACAATTCAGTGAACAGATCTTTGTAAAATAACTCGGTGAATAGATCCTTATAAAATAACTTTGTCCTTTTGACTTCAGTGAATAAGATTTTAAAGCCCATACACATCACCGTCCATTGCATGCATTTGGCAAACGGCCTTCCCAATGCACGCAATAGACAGTTGCACAGATTGGGTGTAACATATAGATAATGTCTTGTTACGCGTCACACGTGTCATTAGCGGGGTGCACGGGATTTTACGAGCTGAATGTCGTTTTACGCTTCGACATCGAAGGTGCGCTACACCAAGTCACAGGTGAGCAAGGATAGGTTCAGTTGTGACCTGACAATTAACCCCGAATGTCTATGCACGAGGTCCACCCACTGGGGGGTACCGTTGTGATTTGGTTTGTTTGTTGTTTAACGCCGCACTCAGCAATATTCCAGCTTTATGAAGGCGGTCTGTAAATAATCGAGTCTGGACCAGACAATCCAGTGATTGATATCATGAGCATCGATCCACGCAATTAGGATGGATGATGCATCAACCAAGTCATATCTTTATTATGTGTATAGATGAGAAGGACATGATCTTAGTCTTCAGTATTATTACTGTAACACATTCCACGTAATTGTTCTCAGTGGCATGAAATAGTATTTTTGTATAAAACATTACATTATAATATCCACACCGAAATGTGCGATAATGATTTTCATTTTTTTTTTAAATTAAGAGTTATTTATACAGCGAATACGAATATGTACATTTTCCATTTTTAATATTTCTAGATCACTCTTACTGAAAACAATCTTTACATCGTTTTTGCAAATTGATATAAAATCTATAACATTCCCAACTCCCTGGCCAATCCACGCATATCGAAGACCCAATTGAAACAGTGTAATGTTTGTTTCTAGAATCACCTTTTTAGCAATATAAAGTGACATCTTATATGCTTTCAATGGATAGCAGAAAGGAGTGAATGAGTATGGATTTACGCCGCTTTTAGAAATATTCCAGCAATATCACGGCAGGGGACACCAGAAATGGGCTTCACACAATATACCCATGTCGGGAATCGAACTAGGTCTTCGGCGTGACGAGCGAACGCTTTAACCACTAGGCTACCCGACCGCCCCGACAGCGGAAAGTACGCATGGAGATGAGTTTTAACCAATAAAAGATACAACGTTGTCATGCCAACATGGATGCTGGATATTTTCCGCATTCCCCCAATACAATATCACCAGTTGTTGAATTTCGGACGCCAAGGTGAGGTGAGGTGAGGTGAGGGGAAATTGGGTTTAACGTCGCGTCCAAGATTATTGCACTTATATAGCGACGTGCATGCACGTGTATGTGTGTGTGTGGCTGCTTGTACTAGTCCGGACTGATGCCGATTTATAGTGCTAGCTCACTGAGATACCATGCCGCAGTTTAACATGAATACCCCACTCAGACACAGTATACTGACTCCTTAATGCCGAGCGCCAGACAGGGTAACAACAAGTACAATCTTTTAACGTCTTTTTGTATGACGCGGCACGGGATCGAACCCTGGACCTTCCGCTCTCCGGGCGGACGCTCTACCACAAGACCACGGAGGCGGTCTCGGACGCCAAGGAAACATGTACATGCTTGTAACTGGATATTTTTCAATACATGTGTACCTTAGAATACCCCAAACCCCAGATCCATACAATAGAATTGGCAAGATTTTAGAGTCGAAGATTTTGAAATATACATGTAGTTGTTATGAAATATTTTCAAACTTGAATAAACTAAGCTGAACGGTTATGCAAGTTTCTTAGCTTTAAAGATTCAGATTGTTTATCGATGCTTGCCAAGTGGGCCTCCGAGAAAATAGCATTGGTGCAACATATCCTTGATTAAAAGTAGTAACATGGAAGGAATGGATCATTGCGAGGTTAGTTTGCGAGTCGAAACAGTTTTGGTGATAATGTTTGTTTAAAAATCTTTAAAAAATTTATGGCGTCATAATATCCGCAGATAATATACCACACACACACACACACACACACACACACACACACAACTCCCATATGAAGAGTAATGATTATGCGTCCGTATTAGCATTTCTGGACAAAAGCTATCCTATATTTCCCTGCACATGGGGATAGAGCAAACATTATTACTTTTCTAAGAAGCCGACTTTAAGACTGACATTGTAACATTGTCTTGTAATAGAAATACGTTTAAAATCAAATCTGTAATATGTGGGGCCGCATGCGTACGTCTTCTAGCTCTAACACTTAAGTTCAGGGCAATTTTATACTTATAACACTACACATGGGAGTAGGGCAAACTGTTTTTCATAATTACAAGACGGTGACTGGCCAACCAAATTGCTAGATTCGTAAACAAGTCATATTTGAGAACAATAACATTTTTTACATGACCACCTGTAGTTTATTTATAAAACCACACCTTTCTGCTCCCCAGGTAAGACAATGTAATTAGGGAAACATGGTGATTACTTCTTCACCTATGCTGTTGGTCACCACTGGGGGGCAAGGCTTGGCAGTATATAAGGGCAGTTGTGGTCAGCTGTCTTCATCACTCCACTCACCTCAGCCAAAAAAACTAAATAACAATGGCTAGCGTTACAAGTCTTCTGCTTCTGTTTGGTGAGATTTCAGACTCTTCAAAGTTCATATGTAATCTTTATTTTTTGTGCATGGTCCTGAATTGTCGTTATCTTTTTCAGGTTATATTCTTTATGAGTGAGTGAGTTGGGTTTTTTACGCCGCTTTTAACATTATTCCAGTTATATCACGGCGTGTCAGCTTAATGTGGGAGGAAAGCCTGAAGTGATGCAGGTCTAAGACGTTTACCACTTCGGTGAAACCCACGAGCACGGGTATGGTGCTGACAAACCTAGAAACATAATCGGGGCGCACCGGGATTCGAACCCAGAATCATAGGTTTCTGGCGTGCCCAAGGGACGCAACTCTGCACAGCGAATTGCGGCACCTAAGACGACTGGGCCACCCGTGCCTCCATATTTTTTATGAAGATAAGACAGACAAAGCGTTATTGATCATATATAAATAATTCTTTTTCCACAATGTTTTCTCTGTATATATCTACTCAGTCGCCTGTAGTTTCATAAATATCATAAAATAATATATAAAAAATATTTATTGTAAATCAGGAGTACATTGTAGGCTGTGCAGGACATGCCTTCCTTTTCGCGACACTTGCTGTGATTTTCAGTGATCTATTCATGCAATTGTTCTTACCTTTTGTTTGTTGTTTAACGCCGCACTCAGCAATATTCCAGCTGTATGAAGGCGGTCTGTAAATAATAGAGTCTGGAGCAGACAATCCAGTGTTTAATATCATGAGCATCGATCCACGTAACTGGGATCGATGGCATGCATCAACCAAGACAGCGAGCCTGACCACCCGGTCCCGTTAGTCGCCTCTTACAAGCAAAGTCACCTTTTACGGCAAGCATGGGTTTCTAGGACCTGATCTACCCTGGATCTTCACGGGGATGTAATACCAGGATTGTGATTATCTATGTATATTAATCATATTGTAACTTGTGTGAATCCTTCCCATTCTGTAGCAATGCTGGTGGCTGTCTCCCTGGCCCATCATCACCATGGTCACCATCATCATCGTCACCATCACCACCACCACCATCATCACCACCACCACACGAAGAATATCCATCATTACGACGAGTACTCATCAGGCTCATCAGGTTCCTCAGGCTCATCCGAGTCCTCAGGATGCGGTTGTGGAGGAAGTTCCGGGTCTTCTGAATCCTCGGACGAAGACTACCCCATCCCAATCCCCATCCCAATCTCCAGCGGTGGCGGCAGCAGCAGCGGTAGCAGCGGTTCCTCCGACGCCGCCCTTCTCCAGGCTCTCATCAACGCCGGAAAGAAGAAGTAGAAACAATACTTGGTGAGTATAACTCAATGCAACAGATAAGATCAAAAAGTCTTGGGAATTTTCTTGTGCGGAGTAGCGTCCCTTAAACGGGCCAGGATATGCTTTTCTGGGATCGAGGATGTTTTTCGTCACAAATTACCATCCTGTGTCAGCCAACATCATGTTATTTGAGGGTTCGCCAAAGAGAGAAACGTCGTGGAACTGGTCCTTCCCCCAACATTGAACTGATACGACGTGATGTAACTGATAAACTGAATTACTGTTCAAAGCAGTAAACGGATACTGTTTCCTCCGACGCTTCTATCATGGCATCACAAGAAACTATTATTTACATTTTTATCAAGATTTCACCTATTATAACAACGTCTCTCTGTCATTGCCATTTGGGTAGCCTCGTTGACTCTTCTGGAGTCGTTCTACCCGAAACAACATCGGTGCACAGATATGCACCTAAATGTCGCCATATTGATGGTGCTGAAGTCAGGACAAGTCTATTTTCACGATGAATCAAACCAGACTTGCGTAGTCTTGATTTCCGGTATGCCAAACCCCGGTCGATTCATCCACAGAACTACCTCAGACCTTGCATTTAACTGTATCAAACCCATGCCCCAGCAGCATTTAACGACAGCCAGCCTCTAAAAGAACCGGGTCAGCTACAACTAATGATTTCTCCCTGTGACAACTGAATAATTACACTTTAAACTTTACTATACTAATCCGTCCTTTCTCGGAACTCCTACAGGAATGGACCCGTGAAGATCCGGTGTAGAATAGGTCTTCAGCAACCCATGCTTGCCGTAAAAGGCGACTATGCTTGTCGTAAGAGGCGACTAACGGGATCGGGTGGTCAGGCTCGCTGACTTGGTTGATGCATGTCATCGATCCCAATTGCGTGGATCGATGCTCATGATGTCAATCACTGGATTGTCTGGTCCAGACTCGATTATTTACACACCGCCGTCATATAGCTGGACTATTGCAGAGAGCGGCGTTAAACAACAAACCAACCAACCAACCTAAAGGAATGAGGGCTTGGCCTCTAGCATCGGTCGGATCGAAAAGTAAAGTCACGTTATTGTGTCCCTGGGCCTCAATAGGTTAAATTCGGTATTTTATTTGTTTAATTGTTTATCTTATTCGTTACAGGTTCTGTTCAGTTTTCAACGAACATCGTTCTCCACTGCTGGCTCTGTTGACTTCTATATACCTGTTCAACTTTATCTGTTATCTGTTTCTGTTATCTGTAAATTATATGAAATAAAATTTGAATTATGATCATAACTTGTGTTGAAATCAAACATGCATCATTTTTCGATCTTATAAAGAGATCGACCGAAGAATTTCCAGCCTTGCCTTGACTTTATATGATACCATGCATATTTATGCTCGTTTCAGTTCCCAAATAATTATAGAATAACCCACGAGGTACGAGTGATTACGGAAAATATGTCACGAGTGAAATTAATGTTTTAAGTTCCGAGCTTTATGTCACGAGTGAAATTAATGTTTTAAGTTCCGAGCTTTAGCGAGGAACTTAAAAGATTAATTTCACGAGTGACATATTTTCCGTAATCACTCGTACCTCGTGGGTTATTCTATTTATTACCCATATTCATATTAAAGACATGTTTCAAGAAAAAAACAATAAACTGTCGCCGATCAAGAATCAGCTGTTTTGTATCAATCCGCGTGTGAAAAAAACACTGTCCACTCACTCCAGCCGCATTACTCAATCAACAACGTCTTGCTACGCGTAAAAATATAGTTCTGTTAACAAAACTTGAAAGATCACATTATTGCAGTTATATTTCTGTCTGAGTTATACAGCGTACACTATCTAACATTGATAAAAGAAGACAGTTTTCAAAAAAGGTTCAACAGGCTTTTTATTCAAGGCTTGTTTTGACAAGACCTCTCATTGACAAGACAATAGCCGTCGTGCATCACCATGGACATGAATTTCACATTGAGAAGAGGAAACACGGAAAACCTGTCAATTTTTTCATGTGTCATTCGGTAAAAATGCAAAAAACTGTATCAACAGCATAGAAGGAACGTACAGAAGTCATGTTTGATTGAGAAAAGTTACGACAAGTAGGTAAACTTTGAAAAATACGATTGCTGTCAGTGTCGGAAAGAATGACCCGACTTGACCAAGATATGAGACAGCCGAAACCAGGAATGACAAGAGAACCGGCGTTACAGTTTAATCCGGACAACAAGTTTAATGAACATCGTTTGTGATTTGAGACAAGTGTGACTGATGGGAAACATGTGCATGTGGGATTTTAGGAGGACTTGTCTGAGTCAAACGCGCTTGTGGAGTGGACACAGTCAGATAACGGGAGTTTGTTGATATTTTGATGTGATTCATAATATGGTCGAATACCTGTTGATAGACTAACACGGTATCTGGAGACTTGGTGACAAGCTGTCCGCATTCACGGAGTTCATTTAGTTCAATGTCGGACACAGGATCACCTCGCTGGGGTAAGTTTTTTTTTCCTTGTATTTTTAATTATTTTTGTTTTGATTTCAAAACCTATTTGAGTTCAGCAAAGTGCATCGATTTCGCAACCAGATGTTGGTAATCTTGTCGCTAAGGTAGCACTGGGTGCTACCCTTGATCTCCTTCAAAGTAGGCATTTCGAATTCTGAACCGTCTGATGTGCATGCCGAAATGATAAATTTGCAAAGAATAATGTTTAGTTGCACCTTTCCTGTGTCATTTACCCTCATAGTCTTATGGTGCCCGGACGTCAGTCAGCCTGCATACCGCTCAGCGCCGTACTGTGCTGACGTGTGGTTACAAAAACGTATACATTGTATAAAAAAGTGTCGCGTTCTTATTTCTTCACACAATGTTACAAACTTAAATTCTACGAAATGGCGTATGTTTATAATGTCTTTCGGAAAGTCTAACTGTTGTTGCAAAAGGAATTTGTTTTTATTCTTATGCCATCATTGAAAGTGTGAGTAGTCTTATTTTTCGTGTTTTTCTTACCAGTATAAATTTGAACTAAGTTCATGTCAACTTGTCAAATTTAGTCTTTTTCATTGTGTTTTCCTTTTCATTGGCAGTTATCGATGTCATCATCGTTCACAAAGGCAAACCTGTCTATACAAAGTCCGGTTTGGGGGATTCGTGTGGTCGAAAGATTCGCCAAACAGCAATTTAAGTCCTCTAACACAGACGCAAATCCGGACTTGGTGGTGTTGAGTTTTAGCGCACTAGAAACAGTTTCTGGCAACATCACAATCTGAAACTTGGAACTTCAGTCTGGCCATCTGCAGTTTTGACAACAAAGACATTAAATGTGTTCAGAGGTTGAATTATGCGAATAACTCTTCCTGTCAGATCTCCGTCTACTTTAACGAGGTCATTTAGTTTGACAGGTGTCAAATGTTCAGCCATGTTTGTTTACAAACAATGCAGACGTAGTTTTGTTTTTTGTAATTACGCTTATTGTAAACTAAAACTCGTGCGAAATAAATGCTTTATTCATTATACTGTGAAATCATGTGGTTGATATGAAACTTTGTTCTAGTCTTATAAATCTCGATTAAGTGAGATTGTAGCACGTAAAACATGTGAATGAATGCTCTGGATTTGTGAATGAACTTAATGAGAGAAAAATAGTCCCGTCGACCAATGAAAATTGACATTTGTTTAACTGACCAATCAGCTTCGAGAATCACTAATTGCACACTGTGCAAATATCAAAAAGTTATTACACTGCATATTTGAGCCCATATGGGTAATAAACAGATAAACCTCACGTGGTATTTGAAATCGGCTTTTCCCGGCAAGTTTTGAAAATCTCCGGTATGAAAATGTCTGGTGTTGTGTGACCATAACCATCGCGGTAGGTGAGGTGAGGTGAAATGGGGTTTAACGTCGCGTCCAAGATTATTGCACTTATATAGCGACGTGCATGCACGTGTGTGTGTTTGTGTGGCTGCTTGTACTAGTCCGGACTGATGCCGATTTATAGTGCTAGCTCACTGAGATACCATGCCGCAGTTTAACATCAATACGGTCAAGTTCGGACTTCTGGCCATTCCTAAGTTGCCCCTTCGTACTTAAACTGGATGTGGTGCTTATATGTTTGGGGGTAAAACACATCGTGTCAGCTCCTAAACACAATGAGTGCGTCGAAATAATGATTCAGTTTAAGTTTATCCCATTTATGTAGAAATCTGTTCACGTGTGTGTGAAATATTCATTACAAGATACATAGTGTATTATTTACTCAAATGTACGGTGGCCCATAACCGCCACATTTTTCACTGTATGCCTCTATATTTTGTCAGATACTTTTCGTTTCAAATTGGCATACCACGTGTGACCAGAATTACATCCAGATCAGTGCCCTGGCAATCGACAGGTTGGAAATTGTTTCCGTAAGATGGAGCTTTGATTCTAAAGTAGGTATCACCTGCTTGATGCGCCATTAGCAGAGACTTAGATCTCATCAGTGGCAGTATTTGGCGGCCGCCAGATACAACATAGAGGCATACAGTGAAACATGATCTCACCAGTGGCGGGTATGGGCCACCGTACAAATGCCACTTGCTTCAGCAAACATACAGTGACATCCCGTTTGTCCAGAAATCCCTCTTTCAGGGTCATTTCTTTCAGGAATGTAATTGTATAAACGGGCTTTTACTTTATCTGGGAAATAAAACAAATGAGTATACGAATGGGAATTTTGTATGAATTTATTGCAATTTGCTTTTTCTTGCAGAACAATTCTAACAAACTCTACATGACATGCGTCGTGTCTACAAAACGTTCTGTATGCACAGAAAAAAATGTGTAGAAACTTTCGAATACATATTAATAATGATCCCACTTACATTTCATAAATAGTTTACCTAAAACAATTAACAAAAATGGATTAACTACATTCGTCGAATTTACCAGAGCTCGTGAAAATACCAGGACAGCTTCCTCGTAACGCCGCACACAGGGACATGTGTTAGGTCAGTTTTTAACCGAGTAACCCAAACGTCGACAGTGTCCCAAGTGGTGGTGGTTGCTGTAGTAGTGGTGGTTGTAGTAGTGGAGGTTGAAGTGGCAGTGGTAGGGGCGGTGGTTGTGGCTGTGGCGCTGGCGCTGGCGGTAGTGATCCTGCGCAGTCAGAACATTGACTGTCACATCCACATCCGGAGGAACCACCAGAAGATGTTTCGCTAGAGGGTGTGGGGGAGTCATATTCGTCGTAGTGGTGGATGTTTTTTGTGTGATGATGGTGGTGGTGATGGTGTGTATGATGGTGCTCGTGGATGCCGCCGCCATGATGCTCGGCAATACTTAGTGTTGTCCACAATACTAGAAGACAAAAATATAAATACTTTGAACAATGGGAGAAACTCTGTCACTGACAGCCTGGTTCCCTGCGCAGCGCCAGCGCAGCATACCCAGGGAACTAGGCTGTATCACTGGGCATTTTCTCATTGTACTCGACCTTCGGTAGCTCGAGTGAGGACCGGTTTAGCGTCGCGCTCAAGATTGTTGCCTACATATAGCAGCGACGCGCGCTCTCTCTCTCTCTCTCTCTCTCTCTCTCTCCGAGCCGAGCCGAGCAGAGCAGAGCAGAGCAGAGCCGAGCCGAGCCGAGCCGAGCAGTGCTTGTTTTAGCCCCTTAATGCCGAGCTCCAGACAGGGTAACATCAGTCTGAAATGCGGATCGGGTGATCAGCATTTCTAATCTTGCTGATAGTGTTTCATCGCGCCCCGACGACGTTGGTCATTGCTCATGTTATCAACCACTGGTGTCCCGGCCAAGACTCTCTATTGTCAGACTGACTTGCGGCATAAAACAACACACCATTAATATGCCCCGCCGTGATATTGCGGGGATATTGCGTAAAGCGGCGTAAAACCATACTAACTCACTCACTCACTATTAATATGCCTAATTCTCATAGTTAAACCCCCAGTTGGTATTGAAACCAGTAAAAATCATTGAAATAGGAATTAATTTGAAGTCGTTTAAATCTTTTTAAAGACATGAAATACTACAAAGAGGGTTCATGTTTAAACACACAAACATCCTGATAGATTAACTTACCTAACACTAGTAAAAGGAGCAGATGTGCAAGCTTGTAGTTTGCCATCGTGTTTGACCAGTGTATGTGAGTTATGAGAGTGATGCTTCTTTATAACACTGGGACAGCCCCGTTTATCCAGACTATCTTGTGATCAGCTAATTCCTTTAACAGAACCCATGTTGAGACACTCTGCAACCACTGGATGACTGCATATTTATTATGA